ACTCCTGACCTCAAGTGATCTGCCCACCTCCGCCTCCCAAAGTGCTGGAATTCCAGGCCTGAGCCACTGCACCCGGCCTCCTTTAAGGGTTTTTAACAGACCTACTCTCAGGTCCTCTTCAGGTTGCTGCATTTACCTGGGAAGGATCTTCTTCCGTGTGGTCTGGTGACTGTCGCAATGCTGTTTTTTCCTATGCGCTTTGTTTCTGGAGCTGCTTCCTGCAGGGAGTCTCTCCTTCCTGGACTGGGGGTCGTGTGTCTCTCAATGTGTTGTGGTCCCCTGGCTGTGTCCACCCTGGTCCTCCAGGGCACATAGGGTGAAGGAGGCCTGTCTTCAAGACACTGTGCACACCACCCACGCCATGCAGGATGGACCCTGGACTCTCATCCATGACTTGCTTCTGTCCCTGGCCATGGGTGACACACAGTAGTAGAGACGGGGTTTCACCACTTTGGCCAGGCTGGTCTCGAACTTCTGACCTGCAGACTGGCCACAAACCCCAGCAAGATTTCCAGCCCCCACCCATGGGCAGACAGCATGTGGTTCCCAGTTTCCACTTCTGATCCATAGAAATGTCCTTTGGTTATTTTCAAATGCTATTCATACATCTCTCGCTCGTGTGCACGCGCGCGCGTGTGTGTGTGTGTGTGTCTGTGTGGTGTTATTGATGTTCTCACTTCAAGTCCATGGAATTGAAGAGGGAGTTTTCTGTATAAACTCAAGCATGACCCAGAAAATTGTCTTTGGTGCTCCAAGCCGATGTGCTCATCTGTCAAGTGGGGCTGTTATGAGGATGAACTGAGATAGATTCATCAGCAAGTAGCACAGCTGACCACACAGTGAACACCCACAGAGCCCGGTGATTCCACTTCCTGTTAATGTTGGGAGCAGGACAAGGGCGTCATCCATCTGTCCCAGCAATAGCAGTGCCGGGGAAGTTCCGCAAGTGACCTAAGAGGAGGCACAGGTGAAAGTTACATAAGGAAATGGCTAGGTACGCAGCTCACACCTGTAACCCCAGCACCTTAGGAGCCTGAGGCGGGTGGACTGCTTGAGCCCAGGAATTGGAGACCAGCCTGGGCAACACAGTGAGACCCCGTCTCTACAAACAATTTTTGAAAAGGATGGGGGAGGGGAGGAAGGAGAAAGGAGGGGAAGGAGGGGAAGGGGGAAGAGGAGAAGAGGGGTAAGGGAGGAAGGGAGGGAGAGAGGAAGGGAGAAAGGGAGGGGGGGAGAAAGGGAGGGAGGGAGGGACTATCATCAGCAACCTTCCCTGGAGGTCTGCCTGCAGGAAGGCTATGGAAAATGCTCTTAGGACTGACACCTGTGGGACGTGAGGCCAGGGCCTGGCACCGGGGATGTCTGCAGCCTCCTGAGTCCCACAGAGAGTTCTGTCCTTTGCGCTTTGTTTGTTTTTAGAGCCATCTCCTGCAGGGCGTCTCTCCTTCCTGGATTCGGGGCTGCGTGTCTCTCTATGTGTTGTGGTCCCGGCTGGCCCTGCACAGGGATCCTGCGTCCCCCAGCCCCGAAGTCAGCACTGCCACAGAAAGGAGGCTTGCATGGCATTGGGCGAGGTGGTACCTTCGCTGGAGGACAAGATTCAGAAGGGAACCTAGCTGACAGCTCTCGCCACCGGCACTCCCAGCGGCAGGGGGTCAGGACTTTCATTCTGAGAAGGAAACCCAGATGGCCCAAGGCATCTGCCGGGGCAGATGATCACAGTTCATTGGAAACTCTGCTGGTTCTGGTGGAAACTCATCAGTCTGTGGAATTAACTGAAAAATCCCTCAAACGATTGCATGTCCAGTGAGGCAGCCAAATGAAAACACAACATTAATCTTTCCTATGTATCAGCAACGATCTCTTCGTAACGGTGAAGGAAGCCTGTGAGACTCACCACAGGATCACATCGGCAACAGAAAACTATGCCCAAGCCGTCGTCTAGCGACTAGGATGCTTATCACAGCACTGTTCACTGTGACAAACATTGTCAGCAAATTTCCAAGGGAAAGGGGTCATTTGGTTCAAGCATGGCCAGTCCAGAGATGGGACATCACGGACTTATAAATCCGATTTTTAAAGGCCATGTCATGACCTTGGCAAGTTCTCATCACATATTAAACATGCAGAATATCGTCCCATTCTGTAAAAAAGGAAAACAAATAGGACCACACGGTGTGCGGCTGGCTGGGGGCCCTGGTTCCGCTTGGTGGCCAGCTGAGACGTCACTGGTTGGCCTGACACAGACCCAAGACTTAGGCTGTAGTCTGATGTGTGGTCCTTCTGCTCAACTGCTAAACAGACACCTGGTGGCTTCCCCACCAGGCTCTGGGCAAGGTGCTAGGGATGCAGGTGACTCACAGCAGCCCTGCCCTCTAGGAGCACAGTCTGGTGGGGGAGACAGACAGGCTCAGTAACGGCATAAGGCCATCACTTACTAGGTGTGAGCCTGGGGGTGTCAGGGCAGGAGCAGAGCCACAGAGCCCCTCACCCGGCCTGGTTGCTCAGGGAGGGTCCTCAGGATAGTAACCCTGGATCCTTCTTAACAGAACGATAAGAGCAGGAGAAAGGAAGCAGTTAGCAAGGCCGGCTGCCCACGCCTGCGGCAGGCAGGAGTGGCAGGGACAGAGAGACAGGCTGACCTGAGAGTTGCTGAGGACCACGGGGTCCGGGCACCAGAGCAGGTGCAGGAGAGAGGAGTAAGGCAAGGGGGCTACCCAGACACCAGGGTGGGGATTCCATGGAGAGAAAAGGGGAGGCTCCCCAGAAAATCTCTAGGGCCACAGGATGGAATTCCACCAGGATGGGCCCATGGGGGCTTGAAGTGAGAGCAAGTGTCACAGAGCCAGAGGGTGGAGGCCCAGCTCCAAGCCACAATCTGTTCTCTCCCCTCAAGGAAGCCAGACAGTGGGATGGCGATGGGGCTCAGCCCTAGACCTCCCCTATCAAGCAGAGTCCTTGCAAGGCCAGGTCCTTGTAAACCTCTCAGATTAGCCACGTGGAGACAGCCAGGAGGACACTATGCACACTTCAGGCCTTCCCATGGAGGAAGACACTGACTAGGCAATGGGCTAGCCAGAGGGGACCCCGATTTGCACTCCCATTCCCAAACCAGCCACCAGTCACAGAGCAGCACATGGGAGAAAGCTCAGGGCAAGGCTTTCTGCAGGGTGGAAGGAGAGGCCACCCAGCCCACGACCACAGAGTTCCTCCACAGAGCTCACGACGCTGTGCCCCGCACACAGCAGCATTCCTCCACAGAGCCCACGATGCTGTGCCCTGAACACAGCTCACCAAAGCACTTCTGCCGCTCCAGCCCCTGCACCTGGTACCAGGATTTGGGGGGAAACTGTAGCATGTTTTGAAGCTCATCTGGTAAAAACAGCTAAGAAAAATCTGAAGCAGGAGAGCCCTACTAAATATGAATAGAAATTATAAAACCTGGCCAAGTGTGGTGGCTCACGCCTGTAAGCTCAGCACTTTGGGAGCCCAAGGCGGGTGGATCACCTGAGGTCAGGAGTTCAAGACCAGCCTGGCCAACATGGTGAGACCCTTTTACTAAAAATACAAACAAAATTAGCTGGGCGTGGTGGCAGGTGCCTGTAATCCCAGCTACTCGGGGGGCTGAGGCAGGAGAATTGCTGGAACCTAAGATGTGGAGGTTGTAGTGAGCTGAGATTGCGCCACTGCACTCCAGCGTGGGTGACAGAGACTCCATCTCAAAAAAAATAAAAAGCAATTATAAAACCCAAGTCAGCTAAAATAGGAAAGTACTGGGCAAGATAAATGGATCGACTGAATAGACAGTGGAAAAAGCTGGTCCTACGACAGATAAGATTTACCCGAGTGTGAAGGAAAGAACACACGGGACCAAGGAAGAGAAAGAATTTTTAATAAGTGGACTGAGGGTGTTTGTTTAAATCTTTGAAAGGAAGTCTACCTGGAGCCTCATCTCACATTACATGCCAAATTAATCCCAGAAATAACTGTTTGTGAATCTGGAGGCACGAAAGGCCTGCAGTGTGGAGCGACAGAAGGAACAGCTGCTGATGCTGGCAGGACTGCTGACCCTTGTCTCTTTAGAGCAGCAGTTCTCAAAGTGGGGCAAGACCCTTTTGGGGGTCCATGAGGTAAAATTGCTTTCATAATAATCCCCAAATGTCGTGTGCGTTTTCCGCATCATCTCTGGGTGTACAGTGGGCTTTGCAGAGGCACCGTGGCGTGTGCTCTTGCAGAGGGCACAGCAGGTAGGACGCTCCCACTGTCTTCTCTTCAGCCAGACTGACAGACGTTTGCCAGAATGTCTTCTCCAATGCCTCTTCTCACTAAATCATGTTTTGTTTTAGAAAATAGAGTTTTTATTTAAAACATTATTTAAGTATGTTTTTATTTTCAGAATAACTACTTTAAAACTTTCTGTTTAAATGTATAATGTAGTAAATATTGATGGATAAACCTATATAAGCAAAAGCTCTTTGAGGTCCTCAATGAGTTCTTATAGTGCAAGGGAACCCTGAGACAAAATGTGTGAGAGCTGCCCGTGGCCCGTGAGCTCTGCAGTGTGGACAGCTCACCACCCGTGGCCCGTGAGCTCTGCAGTGTGGGCAGCTCACCACCCGTGGCCCGTGAGCTCTGTAGTGTGGGCAGCTCACCGCCCGTGGCCCGTGAGCTCTGCAGTGTGGGCAGCTCACCGTCTGTGGCCCGTGAGCTCTGCAGTGTGGGCAGCTCACCGTCTGTGGATCCCAACGCGCTGCAGATCCACTGGCGTAACTAATTCAACAAACCTTCACTGAGTACCTACCACATGCCAGGCATTGTCGCAGGTGCTAATGCTAAACAGCCATCAACAAAACAGACAAAATACACCTGCCTGCCTCGTGTTCTTGTCTAGCTGACACGGGGCTGAGGAGACTGGCTATGGAGTTTAAATGTATAATATGGTAAATTTAAATGTATAATATGTTAAAATTTCAGTAAGATAAAACACACACACGCAAATATGACGCACACCAGGTTAATATCTTTAATACATACCGGGCTCATACACATGTATCAGACCCCAGAAGATAGAGCAAAGGACATTGACAATCCACAGAAGAGGAAATAGAATCGCTTCACATGAGATGCTCAACCGTGCTGGAAATCAATGAAACGCCAACCAAAACACAATGCTACTTTTTCATTATCAAATTAGCAAATATTTAGCCAGGTGATAAAATTCCCAATACCAGCAAGATGGACATGTTTATCCTTGCTGGTGGCAGTAAATGAACACAAATGTTTCTGGAAACCATTTTGTCAATATGTAGTAAAATCCTCAAAGGTTCTCATATTCTTTAGTTCAAGAATCCACCTCTGGGAATCTATCCTAAGAAAATAACTTGACATTGGGAGACAGGCTTGTGCACGAAGGTATTCATCAACTTATAACTGAAAAGTTAGTAACAGCATTAGTTATCTGTAACTGGCACCACAGTCCATCTAGTCGACGGAAGAGTACACAGCCACTGCAAAGTAACATTAGTAATAATACAGGGAGATGCCCACGGTAGCTAAGTGAAAACAGCTGCACAAAACTATCATGACAGAGGACAGCAGCGTAACTGTCAAAACAAAATGCAAAGAAACTATATAGTTGGGAGAAGAAGTCTGAGACACCAAAATGTGCTATTTTACTTCCTTCTTTCCTCTACTTGCAAAAATTGACCTAACGTGGGTTGACATGGAGAATGAGAAGACCTAGTAGGTTTGGTGCTTGTGTATGGAAAGGCCTGAGGCAGGTAAAGTGAGGAGCTGGGTTTCCTCCCATTTCTACCACATCTGTGCTGTGCCGGCTGCCACCCCAGCCAACCTCAGGTTCCCGAAGAGGCCGGCAAGAGCTGTCAGTTCCACAAGGAAGACCCTACACCCCAGTCTTCTCCGCACTGTGGGGAGCTTCTTCTGCTGGCCCAACAGGCTGCTCTTGCTTCCCTTCCCCAGGAGCCACACCTAGTGCCTACCTCTCTAGGCCCCAGAACCAGCGTTCTCCAAGCAGAGGCGAGCTGAGCCTTAAGGCTGTGTGTTGCTGCAGATGGAGGCGCCTCTGCTAGGATCTCTCCTCTCTTCCACCCAGCTCTCCCCAGTGGGTGGCCGCAGCATGGGCTCTTTTGTCCAATCCCGGGGCTTGTTCCTAAGTGAACCTTGGCACATGCCCAGCTCAACCCATGTCCCTTCATTCCCCGGCAGGCCGGAACTGCTCAGGTGGTGCCCACTGAAGGCGGCTCTGTCTGCCATGACAACAGGAGCGCGTACCTCAGGATGGTCCTGCCTCACTTCCTGGGGTTTGTTTTCCACTGCTCATCACGTGCTAACCTGAGGCCAATCAAACAGGTCTTCGCTGTTTCCTAGAAGTCACCAAAATGCTTTAGGCATTGAGTCCCAAGGCCACACTATACTGGGCCAGGGAGTCACCCCTTCACTAACTCCCTTCTCCGGTGATTTCCAGGTATGCAGTGAAGCTTACTTAGCAGAGGGGTGTCTTGTGGGAGCAGACAGCAGTCACAGTCCAGTCCAAAAAACGTCGGAACCAAGGGAAACAGAATTTCCTTCACCTGCACTGTTTACTGTCTGTCCCTTTTATAAATCAATACATGTTTTCTAAAATTTAGAGACATTATAAGCCCCAAATATGTACAAAGCATCTCCCTTCTCCCACTTTCTTCAGCCTAATCCCCCGTCACTGAGGTCTGCACCTCATCCTCCTTAGCTGGGGACTAAGGTGTCTTCCACCTAGAGCCACCATGGGGTCCTCACCCCTCCAATGTGGGCTTCTTCCAAGTCCAAGGTGGAGGGCAAGCTCCTGACCCTCTCTCATGTATGTGCTCCATGTTCCAAAGTGCAGGGAGCTATCAAGAAGGTCCTAAGAGCACACCAGCACACGTCCCGAGCCCACACACACAGGCACCGAGAGACACAAACCCCCATGCCAAACAAAGTTGGTTGGATAGGGCGCCTATAGGCAAAGGACCCGGCTGCAGGTGTGGACAGGGAGTGTGGCCAGCCTTTCCCAGGCAGCTCTGTGGTGTGCAGCAGCCTGACACAAACATGGCAGGGCTTTCATCAGGCTACTTGGGTGGAGCCAGGGCTGGCAACACGGCGGAGTTCCTGCCCCGTTTCCATGCTGGGTCTCCTACTCTGGCTGGGCTGGGCCACGTGGAAACCTTCCAGGTGGAAGGTTTTCCCCGGTGCCACTGTCCCTCTTCACTGGGGGGCACATCTCTCTGGCAGGTACTAGTCTTATCAACACAGCTGCTGGCGATAGAACAGAACTGAGCACAAAGAGAAAGTAATCTGTCCCCCCCCATTCACGGAATGGTGGCCCCGCTGTGTGTCCTCCCTCCGTTCATGCTTAATAAGCACCAAGGTCCCACCTGGACAGCCTCAGCTGGAGTCCAGGGGAACCGAAAGCCTGTGTTCAGGCAGTTGTTCAGCAGGGCAATTGGGCTAACAAAGTGGATGCTGAGTGGGTGGCAGGAGTCTGCGGACCCCACCGAACCTTCTTGGTCTTGGAAGGCAGTGGTTCTTCAGAATCGCAGTCACTTTCCCCAGCACCATCAAAACTCTTCAGGACTGGCCAGGTCCCAGGACCCAACCTCTGGTGTCCCAAGACATATACATGTCTTTGGGTGGGTACGGAGTTTGTCCTTCTGCAACTAAGCCAGAACCCTTCAGACAGGGGCAGATGAACCCAGGGTAGGAACCCCTATGGTCCAGGAGGTCATGTCAACGTGGTTCATTTGGCACTGAAATATGGCGGAGCAGCACAGTCCAAAGGGCATGGCCAAATTCAGCCAGAAAATGATTTCTTGGTCATCTCCCTGTGAGGCATGAGGTCCCTCAGAAGCAGGACATGCCAGTGCTGCACTGTCACCACACTAGGCCCATGGCAGTCCATAGCTCTTTGCTTTTACCAATGCCACCAAGACCCTGGCTGGGTTGCCAGAGGCAGACACCCGCCCCCCGCCACCCCGCCTTAAGTGCTTACAGATAGTTCCCAAGGGAGTGTGTTTTCTCTTAGACAAAGGCAAGACATCTGATTGCCCAGGCATGGGGAGGACATGCTACAGGGTGCCCTTGGAGACCAAGAGATGGAGTGTGAGTGGCTGCAGTGAAGGCCACGTGGCACCTGAATGGAGATGGGAACAGGTCTCAAGCTGGCAAGGCTCACTATCAGTGACATGGGGCAGGGGCAGGGGCAGGAGTGACTGAATGAACATCAGCAGCTATGGCACTGGCCATGGAGATCCTGGGTGGCAAAAGGAGTCACTGGTATCCACCCTCAGCCTGCTATGGCCCTCAGGCATGGGTGTGCAGGAACCTACAGCCTGAGGGACTTCCCCAGTGGCTGAAAGTCCACCATGACCTTATTTAGCAGACAAGTTCCAGATTCCCCAAATCCCCGGCCCCATCAGAACACGAGCAGCTGAAGCCAAGCATTACTGGAGCTGCATCTTCTGATGGATTCACCCTTCAGCTGCAACATTGTTCCTTCCCGGTGAGAGCAATGGGGCCTCCTAGACTGCATATTCATGTGCAGAGTGGAACCTGGCCCCCAGAAGTGCTAGAACTACACTCCCAGCAGTGACCACTCCACCACTGACAGCACGGATGAGGCCCTGCCTGCTGCACTGGGCCCTAGCAGGGCCAGTGGGCATCTTGGGCAGGAAGCCAGACCCCCTCTCCAGGTTCACCCATCGAGCCACCACCCTGACCAGACCCCCTCTCCAGTCACACCCATTGAGATACCAGCCTGGCCAAACTGGCTTCTTTCTGTCCAGAGATCATCAACGAGAACCAGGCAACCAGGTGCAGAGCCACCAAGGGGGCTTGCAGAGGGCAGAGTAGGAGCCTCCATGAACCAAGTCAGGTTGGGAGGAGTCAGCCCACGTGGTCCATCAGTGTGCAGCCCAGTCCCTGTGTCCCAGTAGCAGAGCGGTAGTCACTGAAACAGCCCGGGATGCCAGCAAGAGGGAGGCAAGCATGCAGTGTGCGTTAGGTACAAAGCTAGCACATAAGAGGAAGTGCGGCAAGGTGGGCAACCAGCGCGCCAGGAGGGATGGAAGGAAGGTCTCCTTGGGGAACAGGTCTGAAGAGGCAAGAAGGGAGGTCTTCACACAGGAGTGATGCTGTCGCATGGGCAATTTCTTCTACACAGCAAAGAGCGTATACTACCTGGGTGGCTGCAGACGCTACCAAGGGGTGGCAGATTCTTAAAGATTCCGTGCTCGGACAGGCAGGGCTGGCGCTGGACTAGTCCCGTTGGAAGCTGGATGCACTGGGCAAGGCCCCGTGCCCGCAGCAGCCAGCTGGCGGCAGAGCATCTGCCTCTCTCGCACAGCCCTGTTAGAGGCAGAAGTCTTCCTGATTTGGGCGCGCCGCGCGTGTCGGAGTGGAGACTTGTAGGTTCTCCGCAACTCTGCCAGGAACCCCTGGTAGTTGTTGCGCAAGGGGCTGTCAGGCTGCATGTGGGGGATAGCCCACTTCTCCGCCTCCCCAGTCAGTCGAGACACAAGGAAGGCCACGCGCTCGGCCTCACCTGGGAAGCGGGAGGCCTGGAAGATCATGAATCTGTCCATCTGCATCAGGAACCCAGCCAACTGGCCTGGGTCCCCGGAAAAGGGCTCGGGCAGAGAGGTTGGAGGTGTGGTCATAGGTCGAGTCCCATTAGAGGTAATTGCAGAGATGGGCGGGGTGATCTGCAGAGCCCCAGGGATCCGCGCCCTGGTGCGTAACAAGGTCAACTCTGCCATCACGCTCTCCAGCATGTTGGTGAGATTGGCCTTCTCTGCCCGCAGGGTGGAGGCCTCCCGCCTCAGCGCTGAGTTGGTGAGGCGCAGGGAGGTCAGGGTGTCAATGACGTCATCCATCTGGGCGTTAGGAGACGCTGCCGACGCCGGGCTTTCAGCTTTGGATGTCTGCGGCTGCACCATGCTGGCCAAAGGTCAGCCACGGGTGAGACCCGCGGGTGTGGTGACCAGGTGGGTCCCCGTGGAAATGGGGGCAGCGTGGGGTGCACGACGGGAGGTGGGCTGTGAGATCCCCAAGCCCAAGCCGAGGGCCCGAGAGAGGGGCACACGATGCCCGGCGGGGGCAGGCCTTGGGGACTTCGGCCCTGGTCCCACGCGGCTCCTTTACTGCAGGCCTCGCGGGCTAGGGAGCCGGACGGGCAGCTGGACCTGCTCTGGGCCCTGGAGGATTAAGAAAAGATGTTTTTAAGGCTTCGATGGCGATTAGCGGGCGGGACGGCGAAAGACGGCGTGGAGGGCCTGCGCGTGGGAGGCGAGGCTGCACAAAGACCCACGGCGCCCGCCGGGAGGGTAACAAAGGGGACTGTTGCTTGGCTGCCGCGGGCCTGGGGGCCGCCACAGTGGCAGGGTCGGTCCAGGCCAGGCAGCGGGGAGGGGACGCGCGTACCTGGGGTCTCGCGGTTCCTCCACGGCTCCGTCCGCCGCCGGCCGCGACAGAGATGGCCCGCGCGGGGGACGCTGCCAGGCCGATGAGTCACCGCGCTGCCCGCCGAGAACTGCTTCCCGGTCAGCACAGCCGGGCGCTGGTGATGGCGGCGGGCGGCCTTCGGCAGGTGCAGGCACCAGGCCAGACCAGGCCAGGGCCGGGGCGGGGCCGGGGTCGCGGCAGAGGGCGGGTCACCGCGCGGTCTTTGTGCGGGCGGGGCCGGCGCAGTAGCAGCGGCGGCGGCGGGTGGGCCTAGCGCGGGCCCTGCTGGTTGCCATGGAGACTTTCCGCTCCCGCGTGTGCGGCGACAGCGGAGGTTCCTCCCCCGGAAGTGACGCACCCCGCACCCTTAACGCGGGCATCTGCTGAGCGTCCTCCCTGGCAGCCAATCAGGGACCACTGTGGTTGCTGTGGCCTCTTCATCAGGGAGATTCCTGGTGTTCTCCCAGCCTTTCCAACCAACAGGGCTTGCAAGGCTCTGTGTGTTGTCATTGGGTTTTCTTCGATAATTTACTTTTCTTCTTCTTATTTTTTTTTTTTGAGAGGGAGTCTCACCCTGTCGACTAGGCTGGAGTGCAATGGCGTGATCTCCGCTCACTGCAACCTCAGCCTCCCGGATTCAAGCAGTTCTCCTGCCTCAGCCTCCAGAGTAGCTGGGATTACTTACAGGCGCCTGCTACCACGCCTGGCTAATTTTTGTATTTTTAGTAGAGATGGGGGTCTCAACATGTTGGCCTGACTTGTCTCAAACTCTTGACCTCAGGTGATCCACCCGCCTTGGCCTCCCAAAGTGCTGGGATTACAGGCGTGAGCCACTGCACCAAGCCCTCATTGTGATTTGAATATAATTTACTGTAACAAATATAATGTAATATGACAAATGTTGACGTCAGAGAAGTAAAAAAACCTTTATGCTACTCACACGTCCTCCACCTAGAGATAGCGAATACTGATTGATGTTTATATACACTCACTTAGTTGCCCAGGCTGTAATGCAGTAGCACCATCATAGCTCCTGCCACCTGGAACCCTGAGCTCAAGTTATCCTCCCACCTCAGCCTCCCCAGGAGCTGGGACCACAGAGGCCACCACACCTAGCTAAGCAAATAGTAGTATTTCTGTAGTTCCATCCAGTCATTTTTCTATGATATGTTCTACAATAGATTAATTTTTTACTTTATGAATATTTTGTAACCAGAATAGCACATTGAATTTTGAGCATTTTCCTATTGAAGATAGTTCAGAAGCATGATTTGCAGATATTGCCTGTGGTCCATGGAAATCCTGTACCACAATGTATTTAGCCATATCGTTTTTGATAGATCCTTATCTTGTTTACCATGCTAAAGTTTTATAAACTACACTTGTATATAAATCCTCACCCTTTTCTCTGCTGGGTTTCCCTGGGTAAATACCAAGGAGTGAAGATACTTGGCTGATATGCTTTGGCTGTGTCTCCGCCCAAATCTCATCTTGAGTTGTAATTCCCACAATTCCAACATCTTGGGAGGTGACTGAATTATGTGGATGGGTCTCTCTTTCCCTGTTCTTGTGATAGTGAGTGAGTCTGAAGACATCTCATGGTTTTAAAAAGGAGAGTTTCCCTGCACAAGCTCTGAGTTTGCCTGCTGCCATTCAAAAGACCAGACTTGTTCCTCCATGCCTTTCACCTTCTGCCATGATTGTGAGCCTCCCCAGCCATTTGGAACTGTGAGTCCAATAAACCGTTTTCTTTTGTAAATTGCCTAGTCTCGGATATGTCTATCAGCAGCATGAAAACAGACTAATACACTGGCCGAAGGGTATAAACTGATTGATTCCGGGTCTGGATATTTCCAGCTTGACCTTGCTGAGACTCCTGTACACTCAGTTCCAAGCTGGCATGGCTGCAGAGAAAAGATACTGAGAAATAAAAATAAAAATTTAAGCCCCCCAACCAACTGAACAGACCCCTTCTTGGCCAGGGGACCCCAGAGAAACCTGGGAAACTGAACTCCTGGCCATGATGGTATGGGAGATTGGGCACACCTCGATATCTGCCTCCCATTCATAACCGATAACCACCATTAGGCCTTTTTCCCTAAGGGTCAAACAGAAACAGGCCCCTCTGAAAGACCTTAACATTGATATCAACCAACACTGCCCCTCCCTTTTCGTGGGACACAGCAACTGACCAGCATTCTTTCCTGATAAGAGACCACCAACAAAGTTGTGGTTCTGGCCAGTCTGTGGAGGATGTGCGGTGAAAGTTTTTGTGTCCTCTGCTTCACCTTTTGATGTTAGAGGGCTGAAAACTCCACCCTCAGATCATGCTGACACCGCCATTTTTTGTATATATGACCCATGAAGCGGCATGAAGCTCAGTTGCACATGTGCATATTTATCTTCTCATAAATATTCATGACTCCTCCTGTAGCTTATTGAATATGTATATTTGGCCATCCTGTTCAACATAAACTTGTCTTACTCTTCCAGCCCTTGAGGTGCCTGTTTATGGCTTCTGGCCAGAGGCTACCCTCCCCAGCCCGTCCAAATGGCCACCCTGCAGGCTGCAATCTTTTACAAGAAATAAAACTCTCCTTTCCAGGTTTATGAACCTCATCATTCTTCAGATAACAATACCCAGCATGCCAGTCTTTTGAGAACACAGTCTTCAAGGAGGCTGAAGCTGGCAACCATCTGCACTCCTTAGGCAGGCCTGGGACAGAGCTAGACTCACTCAGACTTACAGTTTTCACTCAAGAGAATTAGGGAATCAGGATGTTATTACTGAGCAAATGGTCTTGCTGCCTGATGCACACAGAAGCCAATAACTATGGCACCAGCTTTCTTTTATTTTTAGACAGAGTCTCACTCTGTATCCCAAGCTGGAGTCAGTGGCATGATCTCAGCTCTTTGCAACCTCCACCTCCCATGTTCAAACGATTCTTCTGCCTCAGCCTCCCAAGTAGCTGGGACTACAGGTGTGCACCACCATACCTGGCTAATTTTTGTATATTTTTAGTAGAGACAGGGTTTCACCATATTGGCCAGGCTGTTCTTGAACTCCTGACCTTGTGATCCACCTGCTCCGGCCTCCCAAAGTGCTGAGATTACAGGCATGAGCCACTGTGCCCAGTCAGCACCAGCTTTTGAGAAAAGAAAAGCTTTATTGCATAACTAACTAGAAGGAGAGGAGGTGGGCTCGAATCTGTCCCTGATTTGTGGTCTGGGGCAAGTTTTAAGGGATCAGATGGCAACAGAAAGTATTTAGAAATGTTGGCTTTGCCAGGGCCTGATTGGAGGGGCTTCAGGTTTGACCATATATGGTAATGTATGTTAAAGTAGATTTTAGCCCCAGACCTTCCAAGCTGATGGACCTCCTTGCTTGTGAATAAGTTCTGGTGTTCAAGTTCTGGTCATGTCCTAGTCTTCTTAGTTCCAAGGGGAGGAATCATTGGTTCTGGGTGTGTTAGAGGTCAAAGCTTTCTCTGTGGCACATGCCCATGCTACATGACTTACAGTTTTGGATTCTGTTATACGTAAAGGCAACTTGACATTTTGTTATCAACAAGTTGGACCTGTTATACCCAAAGCGAGTTTGAAACAGAAGCGCCACACTCTGAGTTTGTTGAGAGTCCGTTTAATGCCCGGTGTCTGAGAGTCAGCTAGTGCTCAAATCTCTCAGCCCAGAACAAAAGACAGTCACCATTTTTATATCTTCTCATGGATTAGAGGGCAGAAACCAAATTGTTACAGAAGGAGAAAAAGCAGATTAGGGGAGTGGGGATCTAGCAACAAAGATTCTATTTAAAGTTATTTGTCAAGCAGGATGTGGGGTAGGCAGTTACACAGCTGCAGGTACAGGATGTATGGGCCAGTGGGCCCTGTTTTTCAGAAAATAGGCAGCAAAATACCAGGTGCCTCAGGCTACAAAGTTTCAGGAACAGAGGCCCTATGCTCAGGGTGGTCAAGATGGAGTCAACAGGATTGCTTAAAATGGAGTCACTTTAGCCAGGCTAGATTATCTCAGACCCAGTTTGGGCAGGTCCCACAGTTGCAATGTCAGAACTTGGAAAGGATACTTGTACCCCAGTGTGCCAAAGTATACACCCTTTGGGACCAGGTGAAAACTTGTAGAGTATGAAGCAAGAGGGAAATGAGGGCGTTGGCTCATGCCTGTAATCCCAGTACTCTGGGAGGCTGAGGCAGATGGATCACGAGGTCAGGAGATTGAGACCATCCTGGCCAACATGGTGAAACCCCATCTCTACTAAAATACAAAAAAATTAGCCAGACATGTTGGTGTGCACCTGTATGTAGTCCCAGCTACTCAGGAGGCTGAGGCAGGGGAATCTCTTGAACCCGGGTAGCAGAAGATGCCATGAGCCGTGATTGTGCCAGTGCACTACAGCCTGGGCAACAGAGCAAGACTCCATCTCACAAAAAAAAAAAAAAAAAAAAAAGGGAAATGAGGAAGACTCTGCATCCTTAAACTTCTTCCATGAGACCTTCCAAATCAGATAGTGGTGGGAACTGACTTTGACTGAGGTCAACAACTTCAAAAGCAGATATGAGCCTGGAGCCTTCTACCCCTCCAAGTTCTTCTAAACACAGAGCAATCCCATCCACTCCTGGGAGTCAATCCATCTGTCTCTCTGCCCTCAGTGCCATGGTTGCAGCTCCCCAGGCCCCTGGGTACTGTGCACATGTGGGAAGTGTCTGCTATAATTTCAAGTGTGGCTGACACCATAAATCTTAAAATCCTAGGTGCACTGAACATAAGGTACACCCCAATTTCAGAAATGATAACACATATGAAGAAATATGTAACTTACCTGTATTTCACCTTACTTCCAAGGCAAAATGAGATAGCGGCCCATAAAAATAGAGCAAAATAAAAATTAATGGAATTTTAAAAATAAACAGGAGAAGAGTATTGGGCTTCTCATCCAGATCAAGGTATGGTTCATGCTCTGAGGTGCCTGTCTGGGCTGTGAACACAGAACAATAAAATATGCAAACAAAATGCTGAAAGGATATAAGTGAGCTCAGAAATAAGATAAACTTCACAATGGTCCAGAAACACAAACTTCTGAGTACTGACATGGGCCTGCAGGGCCCCAGACCTGAGGCATAATCAGGACCCAAGGCTGGGAACACAGCCAGGCTTCCTATTTAAAGCCAGGGGATTGGGGAGAGAGGAGTCACACCTATATCAGAAAAGAAGTCTGAAAAATTGGATTGAGTCATTTCATGGGGGTCGGGTGTGAGAGTTTATGTGAAAGTGTGGCTATGGGGCAAAGAAGAGCACAGATACAGTCTCATGAATCTCATGCCCCGGGTTTAACAAGTAGACCAAGA